ACACAGAAAAACAAACAATTGACGTAAGCGGAAACCCCGAGGAAAGCAGCAAATATAAGAACCATTTAAAGAAAGAACACAAAACAGAAAAACGACACTGATACACCGTCGCACCTGGATAGGTCGCTCGCGCGACCTCTCCTGGATGCGCAAGGGGCCCATTGGGGTCACGCGGAGGGAGGCGCTGTTAGCGGCGGAGGAGGCGAAGGCGGCCGCACGGGCGGCGGAGAAGGCGCGGGCGGCGGAGGGGGGGAAGGGCGGCGGCAGCGGGCGGCAGTCCCGCGAGGCACGCCGGCGGAAGGGTTCGTCTTCGCGGGGCGGGGTGCGCACTGCGCGCCGCGAGGATGAGGAGCCTGAGCCAGGGGAGGGTTGGGAAGGGGGGGCGAGGCCGGAGGAGTATGACGGCCTCTTCGACGGCCCATAAGGGGCCGTTGTCTGCTGTGCCTTTTGTGGTGCTAGTTCGTGCCAGTCTGCTGTGAGAGGGGCTTGTATTCGTAGAATTCTTAAGATACAAGCCTCTCTCACAGCACGTATTCGTAGAATTCTTGTAGCCGGGGCCTCGTCTGATCGGTCGGACGCGCTTCCCTCCTCTGCGACAACTTGTGGTCCGCATCAAACGCTGTGTGCTGCGGACGCTGACAACAGCAACATGAGCTCGAACACTGCAAGCATGAGCACCAAATCTGCTGCGAGGCGCGAGAGGCGTCGTGCCCGACAGCAGGCCGCGGTGGCGAGCGCTGCGGACACGGCCCGCGCACACGTGAACCGGCGTGTCCATGAAGAAGCCACGACCGCGGCCTCCCTCTTGGGCATTCCTTCTGACGCGCGGCTTTGCGATGTGGATCCAAGTGCATTGGTGGCCAGTGGCGGCGAAGCTGATGTGGCAGAACATATGGAGAACATGCACGAGGAGGAAGCAGACAACCAAGTCCGATCGTGGGCAGCCAGCTCTTGGCCGGACTTCAGCCAGCTCTCGGACAATTGTGCGACCTGCGGGCTGGAGCCGGGCGATGGTGTCCGGTTCCTCACGTGCGCCTCCTGCTTGACGCCGCGCTACTGCTCGAAGCAGTGCCAGGCGGACGGATGGAAGCAGTCCAAGCACGGGCACAAGTTCTCCTGCGCCGCCAAGCTGGGCCTGCCCACGCCCGCGACGGTGGCCCAGGCTCCGATGTCCGCTGTCCTGCAAGTCCTGAAGGAGTACCGGTGGAGCGCCGAGGTGCGGGTCGCGTGCCTACTCCGCGTAGACGCGCTGGCGGCAGACCAGTCCGCGCTCCAAACCCCCGGCCTGGCGGAGGCGATGGCGGCTGCCCTGAGCTACGACTGCGGGCACGGCGCGGGCAGACCGGACTGGCAGCGGAGGTGCGGCATGCTGGCGAGCCGGCTCTGCTGCGAGGCGCTGGGCAAGATGGCGGCCGCCGGGCCCGTCGCCTTCGGGCGCGTGCTGGGCGCGGGTGCCGTGCCGGCCCTCGTCAAGACGGCGACGGCGTGCCTCGGCCACCGTGACCGCGCGGCTCTGCACACGGCGCTGGCCGGCCTGAGCAACGTGTCCATGGAAGACGACGGTGAGGAGTGCGTGCGTGCCGAGGGCGGGATGCAGCTGGCGAAGCGCGCGATGGCGGCCTTCCCGCGGAACAGCCAGATCCAGTCGGTGTGCTGCGCTCTGCTCCGCAACCTTGTTGCTCCGGACGACGCGCTCGTGATTGAGGTTATGGATGCGGACGCGATCGATTTGGTGGCTAACGCTTATCGCGCGTTCCCTCGCGTGTGCGCCGGTGACGTGCTGAGAAACCTGCTCTTAGCGCGGCCAAAGGACGAGGCTGTAGCCGCCAAGTGCCTTTCGGTTTGTGTGCAGTTGGGGTTTGTGCGGGTATGCGATGGCAAGCTTGAAGCCGTTCCCGCTTGAGAGTCGAACTTGCTTGGTAGCCCGGGGAGTCGTTCGATCTTCGAATAATTTTGTATTTTGTTTAGTTTAATTTTGTATACGCAATAGCCAATACGCTAAACGGGTTCCAAAACAGCAATGATACTAAAACAGTATATACTCTGGATGAATCAGTGGTACAAAAAACGCTGCATTGAACAAAGCTACTTTAAGCAGCCGACTCGGGCACTCTGAGTGAGAGAGAGATGAGCTATGTCCTATGAGTATGACAACGACGCCGACAGCTCGCTGGAGCGGTACGACCCGCCATTTAATGCGTTCAGTTAAGTCGTCTGCATGGGAGTGCTCGCGGTATTTTTTCTTTTTTTCGCGATGTCCGAACCGCCGCGCCGCTGCTCGCGCCGCCGCTCGCGCCGCCTCGCCACCGCCGCCGCTCCCTCGCCAGACACGTCGCCGCCCGCCCGCCTCCTCGACCTCCCCACGGACCTCCTCGTGCGCGTCGTCTCTCGCTGCGACCCCGTCGACATCGCTCGCGTCGCGGCCGTCTCGCTGCTCTTTCACGCATCGCTTGCGGTGGAGGGCATCCGCTTGTGGGCGCAAGAGCGCGGCTTCGAGCTGCCGGCGCAGCCAGAGGGCGAGGTCTGCGCCGTGCGGTGGCTGTGCTTCGCTGCGCTGCTGTGCGAGTCCAACCCGCCGGCCAGGGTGGCGGCAGGCGGTCGGCACAGCCTCTTCATCGACGGCGAGGGGCGGCTCTCGTCGTGCGGCTCTGCGCCGCCCTTCTCTCCAGCCCTGCTCGGCCACGGCGAGGGCGTGACGCGGCTCAACACGCCGACCCGGCTGCCGTCGGGGCTGGGCGGCGAGCGCGCCGTGAGCGTGTCGGCTGGCGCCGCACACAGCCTCGCCCTCGCCGCTGACGGCAGTGTCTGGAGCTGGGGCTATGGAGACGACGGCCGGTTGGGCCACGGTGACGAGCAGCGCCAGCAGCAGCCGAAGAAGGTCGAGGCTTTTGATGGCCATCGTGTCTTCGCTGTGTCGGCTGGCGCCGCGCACAGCCTCGCCCTCACCGCAGACAGCGCTGTCTGGAGCTGGGGCAATGGAGACTGGGGCCGGCTGGGCCACGGTGACGAGCAGGACCAGCTGCTGCCTAAGAAGATCGAGGCACTGGCTGGCCAGCGCGTCCTCGCTGTGTCGGCTGGAGAGCACCACAGCCTCGCTATCACCGCCAACGGCGCTGTCTGGAGCTGGGGCGGTGGAGCCTTCGGCAAGCTGGGCCACGGCGATGGGCAGAGGCAGCTGCTGCCCAAGAAGATCGAGGCCTTTGCTGGCCAGCGCGTCGTCGCTGTGTCGGCGGGAGGCGACCACAACATCGCCCTCCCTGCCGACGGCGGCGTCTTTACCTGGGGCGAGGGCGAAAGCGGCCGCCTAGGCCACGGAGAGGACGAGTCGAACCAGCTGCTGCCCAAGAAGGTTGAGGTGTGGGCGCAGGAATGAGGTCACGGTTGTGCTTGTGGCGCGAGTTACGCATGTTAGTGTCCGCTGCACAGTCACAGGCGGCGGCCAAGCACAGTATCGTCCTGCCGCTCTCGCTACGCCGCTCGTGCGCCCCGCGCGCGTGTCGGCCTTCTCATGCCTCCGGCCTCTGAGCGCCCACCCTCGAGCGCCCACCTCGGGCGCTCGGGCGGTTGGGGATGGCAACTCGTTCACCAGCGCCCAATAAATAAAGTGAAAACGCTCGGAAATTCTTCGAACAAGTTCCTCTTGTAGCTTGATCGGTCACACCTGTTCGCGCATCGCCGCCGACGTCTCCCCGCAGGCTGCTGCGCCAGGGAGACGATGCTCGATGGGGTAGGGGGGGACGATCGTCCTGCGCATCGGCCATGTCTCCCGCAGCCGCGAGCGAGCAGCGGAAAGAGGCAGCATTTGAGAAAAGAAGTGAAACAAAAGAACTCTTTGAGAAAAGAAAACGCAGTCGCCATGGCCTCCCACCGCATCGGCGCCCGCCTCGCGGGCCTCTCGCAAGAGCAGCTGATCGAGCTGATCGACAAGCAGGCGCCCCTCTGGAGCGCCGCCGCGCTGCGCGTGGCGGAGGAGCACGCCGCGCAGCATGTGGAGCAGCCCGAGTGGATCCTCTCTGAGGTCCTCCTCTCGCCGGACCTCGCCCCGCACATCCTCGCCCAGCTGCCAACCAAGGCGCACGCCGTCAAGGGTACGTGCCGCGCGTGGCGCCGCGGCTGGAAGGAGACGCTCGCGAAGCGCGAGAGGCCGCGCCTGCTCGTGATCGGCGGCCAAGGCAGCGACTACGAGGGCGGCGGCTATAACAACGACGCCAACAGCTCGCTGGAGCGGTACGACCCGTCAACAAATGAGTGGCAGGAGGAGGCTGTGGCGCCGATGCCAACGGCACGTGAAGATGTCTGCATGGGAGTGCTCGATGGCAACCTCTACGCGGCGGGCGGCATTGGCGAGGACGGCCCAGCTTCCAGCTTGGTGGAGCGGTACGACTTTGCTACGAATGCGTGGGAGGTGGTGGCGCCGATGGTGACGGCACGCGCAGATTTCGCAGCTGCAGCGCTCGCAGGCAAGCTGTATGCTGTCGGCGGCGAGCGCGACGACGACGGCACCCTCAGCTCGGTCGAGCGGTACGACTTTGCTACGAATGTGTGGGAGGCGGTGGCGCCGATGGCGGAGGCGCGGAACTGTCACGGCGTGGCGGTGCTCGACGGCAAGCTGTACGCTGTGGGTGGCTTCAACCGCGAGAATGGCGGCCACCTCAGCTCGGTCGAGCGGTACGACCCGGCGTTGGACGCGTGGGAGGCGGTGGCGCCGATGGCAAGGGCGCGGGCTGCTCACGGCGTGGCAGTGCTCGACGGAAAGCTGTACGCTGTGGGGGGCTACAACCACGAGAATGGCGGCCACCTCAGTTCGGTCGAGCGGTACGACCCGGTGTTGGACGCGTGGGAGGCGGTGGCACCGATGGCGTTGGCCCGGACCCACTCCGGCGTGCCGGTGCTCGATGGGACACTGTACGCTGTGGGCGGGTACGACGGCGACACGGGTAACGCATCCAGCTCGGTGGAGCGCTACGACCCCGCGAACAATGCGTGGGAGGCGGTGGCGGCGCTCGCAACGGCGCGATATGGTCATGGCATTGTCGTGGCTTAGAAGGGCGGGCCGTGCCACAATGGAGCACCTCGAGTGCAGTCGGCATCCGCACAACCAGGGCATTGCGCCGTTTTTTCTCTATATATTCCCTGCCCCAAAATTCTTTTACCGCGCACAATTCTTTTTCTCGCGATGTCCACCCCGCCGCGCCGCCGCTCGCGCCGCCTCGCCACCGCCACCGCCGCCGCTCCCTCGCCAGACACACAGCGGCCCGTCCGCCTCCTCGACCTCCCCACGGACCTCCTCGTGCGCGTCGTCTCTCGCTGCGACCCCGTCGACATCGCTCGCGCCGCGGCCATCTCGCTCCTCTTCCACGCCTCGCTTGCAGTGGAGGGCATCCGCTTGCGGGCGCAAGAGCGCGGCTACGAGCTGCCGGCGCTGCCAGAGGGCGAGGGCTGCGCCGTGCGGTGGCTGTGCTTCGCTGCGCTGCTGTGCGAGTCCAACCCGCCGGCGAGGGTGGCGGCAGGCGAACGGCACAGTGTCTTCATCGACGGCGAGGGGCGGCTCTCGTCGTGCGGCAAACAGACGTCCTACTCTCCAGCCCTCCTCGGCCACGGCGAGGGCGTGACGCGACTCAACACGCCGACCCGCCTCCCTTCTCCGCTGGGTGGCGAGCGCGTCGTGAGCGTGTCGGCTGGAGAGTACCACAGCCTCGCCCTCACTGCCGGCGGCGCCGTCTGGAGCTGGGGCGATGGAGGGGAGGGCAAGCTGGGCCACGGCGACGAGGAGGAGCAGTGGCAGCCGAAGAAGGTCCAGGCCTTCGCTGACCAGCGCGTCGTCGCCGTGTCGCCTGGAAGCAGCCACAGCCTCGCCCTCACCGCCGACGGCGCCGTCTGGAGCTGGGGCAGTGGAGCCTATGGCCGGTTGGGCCACGGCGACGAGCAGCACCAGTGGCAGCCAAAGAAGGTCGAGGCCTTTGCTGGGCGGCGCGTCGTCGCTGTGTCATCTGCAGGCGAGCACAGCCTCGCCCTCGCCGCCGACGGCAGCCTCTGGAGCTGGGGCTGGGGAGGCTTAGGCCAGCTGGGCCACGGCGACGAGCAGAACCAGCTGCTGCCGAAAAAGGTTGAGGCCTTGGCTGGCCAGCGCGTCATCACTGTGTCGGCTGGGCTGTACCACAACCTCATCCTCACCGCCGACGGAGAGGTCTGGAGCTGGGGCAATGGAGGTGCTGGCCAGCTGGGCCACGGCGACGAGCAGCACCAGCTGCTGCCCAAGAAGGTCGAGGCCTTTGCTGGCCAGCGCGTCATCGCTGTGTCGGCTCGGGGCCCCCACAACATCGCCCTCACCGCCGACGGCGGTGTCTGGAGCTGGGGCGGTGGAGCCTTCGGCAAGCTGGGCCACGGCGACCAGCAACGCCAGCTGCTGCCCAAGAAGGTCGAGGCCTTTGCTGGCCAGCGTGTCGTCGCCGTCTTGGCAGGATCCCGCCACAGCCTCGCCCTCACCGCCGACGGCGCCGTCTTTACCTGGGGCGCGGGCGGCCACGGCTGCCTAGGCCACGGAGAGGACGAGTCGAACCAGCTGCTGCCCAAGAAGGTTGAGGTGTGGGCGCAGGAATGAGTCCATGGCTGTGCCTGTGGCGCGAGTTACTCATGTTAGTGTCCGCTGCACAGTCACAGGCGGCGGCCAAGCACAGTATCGTCCTGCCGCTCTCGCTACGCCGCTCGTGCGCCCCGCGCGCGTGTCGGCCTTCTCATGCCTCCGGCCTCTGAGCGCCCACCTCGGGCGCTCGGGCGGTTGGGGATTGGGGATGGCAAATCGGGAGAGGATGGAGAGGGGGGGCGATCGTACTGCTTCCGCAGCGTGCACCTCGATCCTGTACCGCGTTTGTTATACCGTTGTATCGCGCGCCTTGCGGGGGGGGGCGCGGAAAAGAGGAACCTCTTAGCGCCATCGCCATGGTGCTGCACAAGGTGCAAGCAGCGCCGGGCGACGACGACTTACCGCCTCCCGGTCCCCCTCGGCACACCTCCGCTGCTCAATGTTTGACGACTCGAACCCGTGAAGCTTCCCCGTGCGCGGGTTACCCCGCACACGGGTCAGCCTGCCAGCCACGTACCCACGCAAGCGTGGTCCGCGTGCATGGCATACAGGCGTCCGCTAGACAGCGCAGAGGCTAGGCGACCGGGGAAGGACTAGCTCAAGGGCAACACAGCGTCACCAGCCGTTGGCGCGCAGAACGAGTCTGCGGCCCTCGGTTGGGACGAGTGCGCGACGCGGACGAACCGCTCAATGTGGCCGGCAGCTCGCGCTGTCGGCGGGGTTGGTTGGGGAGAACCGGCACGGGGAAAGCCGGCCTCCCCGGAGGTAGCACAGGCGTCCGAATTCAGACGCCCCCCCCAGGACCGATGCTGAAGGCGTCGGGGATGTACCGTAGATCGCGACGCCTGTGCGGGCAAGGCCGAAGGCGGCACGAGGAGGGAGTAGTTGACATTCGAGAGTCGCCCTTGACGGAGGCGAGGCGCGGCGCGGAGCCGGAGAAGGCGCGGGCGCAGGGGCGCAGGCCGGAGACGGCGCGGGCCCGAGGGCGCAGGCCGAGGTCGCCCTTGACGGAGGCGAGGCGAGGCGCGGAGCCGGAGGTAAAGCTATGAAAGCTGAAGCGTGAGGCACTGGCTGTGCGATGTGAGTTGTCACTCTCGATGACGGAAGCGAGACTCGAGTACTCGACGGTGACGGCGGCGGTGACGGCGCTGGCGGCGGAGGCGCTGGCGGAGAGCTCGGCTACGGTGGAGGCGGCGGCAGGGCGCGCCCAGTCGTAGTCGAGGGCGGCGCAGGCATCTCGTTCGCTGGCCAGAAGAACGCCGGCTGTGCGAGGCGAGGCAGCGCACCTGACGGTGGCGACGCCTTGCTCGACGGTACAGCCGACGGCGACAGCTCTGGCGGCAGAGACGCTGGCCGATCGCTCGGCTACGGCGGAGGCGGCAGAGCACGTCCACTCGGAGTCGAGGGCGGCGTAGGCGTCTCGCGCGCTGGTCTGAAGAGCGCCGGCCGTGCGAGGCGAGGTAACACGCTCGAAGACGAAGGCGAGACTCGGGTCCTCGACGGTACAGCTGACGGCGACGGCGCTGGCGGCCTTCCTGGAGGCCGTGCTGATGCAGAGGGGCCGGTGAGCGCCAAATGGCAGGCGCCGTTGATGGAGATGGTGTCGGGCAGCGGCACGTCGATGGAGATGGCGTCGGGCAGCGGCATGCTCGCAGGGACCGGTCCAGAAACGGCGACGGCGAAAGGGATGGTGGCGACGACGAGCAGGACGGTGAAAATCCAGAGGACTCCGTGTAGGCTCGGGACAGACCACTCGGTGCTGACGCGAGGTGGCGGCCCGGAGATGTCACAGACGCCGCTGGTGACGAGCTCGGCGGTGCGGTTGACGTCGCTCGTCTCGCGCCTCTTGTCGGGCGGGGTAGATGGTGACGGCGATGTGGAGCCGAGCAGGGACACGTGATCCGCGGCGATATCCGGGACGTCATCGGCCCGCTCGAAGGCAGAACCCTCGAGATTTGACGCGAATGCGGATGTCTCGAAGAGGATGCGCTCGGCCTCGATGAGCCACGAAGGTTCGGTGCAATCCTCGGAAGGGCGAGGGATGGCGACGCCAGAGGAGTGCTCGATCTCATCGAAGCCGGCGGCGGCTAGCTGAGCGGCGATGGCGGTAACGTCTTCCTCTGTCTCAAGCGAGTTGTCGTTCAAACTGATCTCGATTGAGCCGGCAAAACGGCTCGTCGAAAGCTCGCCCCCCTCGTGGGAAGCTTCTCCCCGGGGTGCCATGTGGACATCACAGACGGAGCTTTTGACGGAGCGTTGGTGCGACTCAGATCCGAAGGCGACCCAAGTCTTGACGGCCGTTGTGTGTGTCCAGCACATGGTGCACATGTGCAGTAATCGCGATGCTTGCTGTGTTTTGCCTGGCACTTGGAGCACTTCTTCTCTCTTGTCTCTTGTGGCTTAAAAAAACACTTGGACTTGCGCAGTGCCAGTGGAAGAATTTTACAACAAAGCTCCCTCTCACGACACTGGCACGGGACTGGCGCGCACTGGCACTAACACGCGATGAGGGACTTAGCTCGTGTGTGACATCGTGGAAGAAAGAATTTTACAACTCAAAACCCCCTCGCACGACACTGGGCGCGGGACTGGCGCGCACTGGCACTAACACAGGTACACCACTGGAGCCGCCTAAGCGACTCCGGCGAGGGTGGCGAGGCACTTAGCTCCGTGCACTCGACCGCCCTCGCCGCTGGCAAGCTCATTCCGCGCCAGCTCCGTAGTTGCGACGGTGTATCATTCACTTTATGAATGATACACCGTCGCAGTAGTGGCAAGCTCCGTGCACTCGACTCCCGCGAGGGCGAGGCACTCAGGCAACAGGCACAAATCACGCACGAACAGTCATACTCGAGAGTCGAGTAGACATACGGGGTCAACACAGGACGGCACACTGGGTTGCAGGAGGGAAAGTGCCCACGGCGGTCCCATCTTCGTCGGCCGTCACCGTCAGCGGCTTCTGTACATGAGGCCGAGCAGCACACCCGCCGCGGCCGCCGAGACGCCGAGGTAGCTGACGACGGTGCCGCTGCTCGTGGGCCGCCGTCCGAAGAGCAGCTTGGCGAAGTACGCCTTGAGGATGAGCTTGGCCTCGAGGTGCTCGGGCGGCGAGGACAGCACCGCCTTGGGCTTGGCGGCGCACTTGGCGACCGCGCCCTCGTTGAGCGTGGCCATGTCGAGCACGTAGCGCACCGACGAGTCGTTGCCCTTGTCGAGCTTGTTCATGATCTCGTTGATCTCCTCCACCGGGTGGATCTCGATGTTGGGGTAGATCCTGTGCTTGTCGAAGAGATCCACCACCTCCTGCGTGGCAGCGATGCCGCCGATCCCCGACGAGACCGTCTTGCGCGCGGGCAGCGCGCCCGTGAGCGCGCCGACCAGCCCGGCCACCCAGCGCGGCGTCACGCCGAGGACCACCTGCACCGCGCCGTCGGTGAGCAGCGGCTCGTACAGCTCGTCGTCGTGCACCATCGGGATCGTGTTGATGATCAGGTCGAGGGTGCCCGCCGCCGCTGCCATCGCCGCCGCGCTCTTCGAGCAGAGCGTCTCGTCGGCGCCGCTCTCGAGCGCGATCTTCGCCTTGGGCGTGCCCTTCTCGGCGCGCGAGATGGCGGTCACCTGCCGGCGCAAGTGCAGCGCGGCGGAGCGGCGTGGCGTGGCGCGCCGTGCAGTGCAGTGCAGTGCAGTGCAGCGCAGCGCAGTGCGTGCAAGCGCAGGTGCAGCGCAGTGGAGTGGACGTGGTCACCTTGCATCCGAGCAGTTTGGCCACCTTCACGCCGGTGAGACCCAGCCCGCCCAGCCCCACGATGCCGACGTGCGTGCCCTCCTTGACGCGCTCGGCGCCCTTGAGCAGGTGCTTCTTGAGCGGGTCGTACATCGTCACGCCCGCGCACATGACCGGCCCCGCCGCCTCGAGCGGGTAGGAGGACGGGATCTTGATCGCGAAGCGCTCGTGCACCACCATCTTTTGCGTGTACCCGCCGAGCGTCTGCCCGCCCTTGGGGTACGGCTCGGCACGGCCGTGCGCGTCGAGCGCGCCGTACGTGCCCGTGCTGAAGCTGGCGCACATCTGCTCCTCGCCCGCCAGGCAGGCCTTGCACTTGAGGCACGCGTCCACCATGCAGCCAACGCCCACCTTGTCGCCGATCTTGAACTTTGTGACGTTGGGGCCGACCGCAACACATACGCCGCCGACCTCGTGGCCGGGCACGCAGGGATACGTCGGCGGTGGCTGCCCCGGCAGCTGGAAGGCGCCGCGCGCGAAAATCTGTGCGAGCAGACGGAGACGCGCTCTCAGCCGCAGCGGGGTGCGCGCATCTCTGTTCATGCTATGTGCGCGTGCGTTGGTGATCATCGTGACTGAGAGACGGCGGCGGCCGGCGATGAAAAAAGCAGTGATCGCGCGCCTGGTCTGTATGGCAAACGCCACAGTACTTCACGTCAATGAGGACGTCGCCGTCCTTCAGCTCTCTCCGCATGAACGTTGTCGCCGTGAAGTTCATTTCCAAGGGCGTGCCTGGCTTGTCGCACGCTAGGCACAGCACCTCGAACGGCTTCAATCCGAGGTTGGGCGGACAGCAGGCGGCCATCTTGTTACAGGCTCGAGCACGTCCACAGAACCCATACGTCGTTTCCTGTAGGTCTTTGAGAACGCTTCCTCGGCGTCTGTTCCTACTAGGCCGTATCGTACTGCCATGTAATGCTGTCTTTTCTTTCTCACCTTGACCTTGACCGCCATGCCACTCATTTTCATTAAGTACCAGTTCAGGTCGAATATCGCCTGTAGGTCCGCGGTGCTCTCAGTGATGAATGAGCCGTCGTCCGCGTAATATAGCTGTGGCACCCGCCCGTTTTCTCCTTTTGTGACTGCGAATCCTCTCGCGTACTTGGACACCGCCCATTGTCCCATTGCTATCGGCATCTTCGCCCTCGATCCTCCGTTCGGATCGCCCTGGCCTGTGCCTCGATCCAGGGGGAATGCGTCCGACAGCCCATGTTCGGTCTCAAATTGCCCTGTAACGTTTGTGTGTAGCGCCTTAATTACCGCGCTGATCTCGGGTTCTACTCCTAGCGCCGCCTCGAGCTGAAATTGTATCTCCTTCACGATGCTCATGAAGCATGTTGACAGATCCTGGAAGCCGATGCATATTTCGCGTCCTTCGATCGCCGCCTGCTCTATCATTAATCGTACCGTCACTATCCGTTCCGATTCCCCCACCGGGGTACGGAGTTGGCACCTTACGGCTGGGTTGAAGACACTTTTCAGGATTTTGGAAAACGATCGATTTTTTTTCGTAACGCACTGCCGCCTAAAAACAGCAAGAAAGAAACGACGACGCGCGGGGTGCCCCGGGGGCGCGCAGGGGAGGCTTCGCCGCTTCTTGCCGCAGGCTCCATGGGAAACGACGAGGCGACCAAGGCCACGACGGCCATTGCAGATGCGCTGTTGCTGCACAAGGTGGCGGCCACGCTCGAGCGCTGCGGCGTGCAGCACCCTCAGGGGCACGCTGCGCTCACGCGGCTGGCGCATGCCGCCCGGGCGCATGCCCTCGACTTTGAGGAGGGCGAGGTCGAGCCGGCGCCGGAGGCCGGCTCGAAAGTGGCTAGCGTGTACATTGGGTGCGCTCACTTTCTGCTAGAGCTGCCGTTCCTCGCGACGGCAGCGTTCTTCGGCGAGCCGACGCTGCAGCACATGTCAGAGACCGCGCCTGCCTGGGCACACGCGACGACCGAGGAGCTGCAGCGCTCGATGGCCCGCATGCTGGCGCGCGCCTGTCGCACGCCAAGACACCCTCCCCCCCAAGACACCTTCTAGACACATCGCAACACTGCCTGCAGGCGCACGGAGCGGTGGACGCTTGCTGCAGCAGCATGGCTAGCCTGAGGGAGGCGCAGGACGCACTCGCCGCCGCCCCCGCCGCTTCCCCGGTTCGTACCGGGACCAGCCACGCGAAGGACCGCTTGCCCGGCGCGTACCCAGACTCGGCGTCGTCCGCGAGCGACTTGACCATGAGCCCCTCCGCCTCCATCTCGGCCGCCGCGGCCAGCGCCGCCTCGAGCTCCTCCGCCGTTGACCCCTCCTCGCCCTGTGCCAGCTCCACACGCCCCGCCACCGGGGTGAGCAGAGCGCGCAGCGCCGCGCGCCGCGCCGGCAGCGGCTTGTGCAGCAGCGACGCTCCGTTGGCCGAGAGCACGTCAAAGACATAGATGCACACCGGCAGCGCGGCTTGCTGCTCCGCGGTCGGAGCCTTGCGTGGCCGCGCCGCGAGCGTCTGAAACGGGAGGGGCCGCGCCGCCGCGCGGTCGTACGCGCAAACCTCCGCGTCGAGCACCGCGGCGGGGGCGCCCGGCGGCATCGCGGCGGCGAGAGCGTCGGCCACGTCCGGGAAGCGCGCCGTCATCTCGTCCATCGACCGCGCGAAGATGCGCACGGCGCCGGCGGCCGCTCCGCCGTCCCCCGCGGCTTGCGGACTCGCTGGGACCCAGTGCAGCTGGCACCGCTCTCCGTCGTACTTGACCTCTGCGAGGAAGGGCGAGCCCCCCATGCGCGAGATCACCTCCTCCACCGACGTCACTGCAGCAGCAGCCATCGGCTGGACAGGCACGCCCGGCTGCACCACACCCGGCGCCAGCCCGAAGATGCCGCGGCGGAAGAGGTCGGCGACGAGGGCGTGGTAGCAGGGGCGCACCTGGGGGGTAGGGGTGGGGGGTAGGGATGGGGGGCAGGGGTGGGGGGCAGGGGTGGGGGGTAGGGGTGGGGGGTAGGGGTGGGGGGTAGGGGTGGGGGGCAGGGGTGGGGGGTAGGGGTGGGGGGTAGGGGTGGGGGTAGGGGTGGGGGGCAGGGGCGCACCTGGAACGTCTCCTGCACCCGCTCGACCGCCGCCCGCCGCTGCTTCGCGCGCAGCGTGCCGAGCCGCTTGAGCGCAGCTCGCTTGGCCTCTGCGCTCGACCGCTTCCGCACAGCAGAGCCGGCGGCCTCCTTGATCTCCTCGGACAGCTTCGCCGCCTCCGCCTCGTCGCACCCGCCGCCCCCCTCCGCGCACGCCTCGCGCGCAGCACGCAACGCCGACGCCAGCCGCGCCGGAGGCCCGCCGCCTAGCGCCTCGGCGGCCGCCGCCGCCGCCTCCGCGCTCGCCGCCCCAATCTCGCGGCCGAGATCGCTCTCGTCTTGTCCGGGCAGCGCTTGGCGCAGCGCCGCCTGCGCGAGGGCCGCCCGAAGCGACTTGTCGCCCAGCCCGGTCCGCTGCTTCCCCGCGATCATCCGCAGGAGCAGCTGCGCCTCGCCGAGCGACAGCCGCGAGAGGAGCTCCGAGAGCAGCTCCGTCTTCCTCGCCTGTTCACAGCTGCACGTGTGAAGAGACGCTGTTCACAGCGCGCCGAGCAGCTCCGTCTTCCTCGCCTGTGAGCCGGTGCCCGCCGCCTCCTGCACCACCCTCAGCGTGCGCAGCACCTCGGAGACGTCGACAGCGCCGCTCGCGGGCGGCGCCTCCCACCGCGTGTCCGACCCGCGCGCCTCGCCCAGCGCCTCGGCGGCGAGCGTACCTAGCGGAGACGGAGCAGCGCGAGTCTCGCGCGGGCCACCAGCGAGCGAGTGCACGGTCGCATTGGCGTGACACGTCGCCGATTGGTGGAGCCAAGGGTGGGGTGGGGTGAGCGGCCCGTGCCACCTCCCCGTTGCATCTAGACCCGCCGCACCGATGTCGCCGAGCTCCTTGAGCCGAGCGGCGAGCGCTTCTGGCCGCGCGCCGCCGCCGTACCGCGCGCCGCCGCCGTACCGCGCGCCGCCGCCGTGCTCCTCCGGCGCGGTGTCGGGCCGATGTCGCGCCGCGGCGTGGGCGATGGCGTCGAGGAGGGTCGCCTTGCCGATCCCGAGCTTGACGGGCCGGCCGCCCGGCGCGAGTTGCAGCGTCGTCAGCGCGACGCACGCCAGCAGCTGCTCCTCTCCTCCCCAAGCCTCATCCAGCAGCCGTCGCATCAGAGCCTCCTTGCCGAGCCGTGCGGGCTCCGCTTCGACGGCGGCGAGACTGCGCGCCAGCGAGGCGTACGCAAACGGCGGCGGCGGTGGCAGCGTGCCCGGCCGGTGTTGGCGGCCAGGAGAGGGAGGCGGAGGAGCAGGAGGCGATTGCGGCGGAGGCAGCGGCACCGCGACCGACGCGGCCACGGCTGAGCGGCACGCGCGCGAGGCGACGCGAGCGCGAGGCGCCGGCTGCGAGGAGGGGCGAGAGCAGGCGGAGCGTGACGGGCAGGAGCGTCGTGAGGACTCGCGCGAAAAAGAAACAAAATGTTTTAAAGCTTCGCGTGAGGCCGCACCTCTAGTGAGGCCCGCATAGTATGTGGGAGACTCGTGCCGCCGCCCCTGCCACCCCTGTGTCAGTGTGCCTGTGGTAGGAGAGACTGCCAGCGACAAGCTGGAGGCAGGTCGCTAGACTGAGATGAGACCGCCAGTGCGCAGTGGATGTGGGAGTCCACCGCGCACCGCGCTGCGAGCCTGTCGTGTCCCTTGTCAGGAGCAGGAGAGCCCCACCTGTCCCCCTGATCGTTCTTCCAAAATCCTGCTCGTGCAGGTCCAGGTGGGGACCCTGTCCTCGTCCCATCCCTCGTTTGGCGTGTCTATTTTCTTTCTTTCTTTTTATTGGTGCAACCAGCCGACTAATTCACGTTTGCGAGTACGAAAAATGCTTCCCGTGCGAAAAAAAAGCTCGCAAGCACACCACCGAAAAGGGCTCGGCGAGATCTCTCGATTGGCATCACTTCGTGGGTAGGTGGGTGGATTGGGGGGAAGTGGGAAGGGGGTTCCCAAAAATCGACCCCCAAATCGCCCTCCAGACCCTCCCTGGTGGCCAGAGACGCGCGCCGCAGGCGAAGCGCTCGCCGCGGACCTGCCCCGCCGGCCCCTGCCGACCACGCGTTGGCATAGCGCTCCTGAGAGCACCAAACCTCGCTCAGAGAAGCGTCTCCCGCCTCTTCAGTCCACGTACCAGTCCTCTGACCACCGCAGGGCGGCTGCTGTGCGAGAGAAGCCGGCCTTTTGCTGCCCGGTGGGCGGCCGCGCTTTGGCTTGGCCGGTGGCTCCGCGGCTAGCTCAGGCGGCGGCAGCTGCTCGGGCTCGGGCAGCGCTGGCGCCATCTCCTCCGTCGGGGCGGCGGGAGAGGAGGTGGGAGCGTCGGCGGGAGCGTCGGCGGGAGGCTGAGAGGTGGCGCCGGCCGAGAGAGAAGCCAGCCGGGGCATGATGAAATCGGCGAGCGTCAGCTGGCTTCGGCCCTCCGCCGTCCGAGGCCGCTTCTTCTGCGTCCTCTTTGGTGCGCTGCTCGCACCAGAGAAGGGGAGGGTTGACTGCACCAGCGCGTCGCCGCCGGCGGACTCGCCCGAGCGGGTGCTGCTTGTTCAGCGCGGCCAGGTGCGCGCCGTGCGCGGTCTTCTTCTTTTGCTCGAGGCAGCGAGAGCGGGCACGCGGAGGACCAAATGCACCTGCGAGTGCATAGAGACGGCCCGAGATGGGTCAATCGTAGGCTACTCATGTGCCCTCGATGGATGGGAGTGGTCTGGGCGCGAGGTATTGGACAGAAATGGAGCAAAAAAAGCGCGCGTATTGCGTCATTGCGAGCGACAGCGCGTTGCTCCAGGAGGCCAGCGCGGTCGAATCTGGCGATTCGACACCGGTCGCTGGGTGCTCCGGACCGGTCCCGATGGTGTGGGCACCGCGAGCGGCGCGCGGCGGTCTCGCGCGGGCCGTGTATACGCGGCGCGCTCACCAGTGTGAAAGATCGCGCTCTAGGCTGGTTGCCCAATATTGCAAATTCTCAAATTCCTGCCGCCGCCCAGGGGGGGCCAAGGGTCACGGTGTCCGTTACTCTCCCATGGCCGCAGCGCACCGCCTCAGCGCGCGCCTCGCAAGCGCAAGCCTCTCGCCAGAGCAGCTCCTCGCCTTCATCGACGAGCTGGCGCCCCTCCTGAGCGACGCCGCGCTGCGCGTGGCGGAGGAGCACGCCGCACGGCTCGTAGAGCAGCCCGAGTGGGTGCTCTCCGAGGTCCTCCTCTCGCCGGACCTCGCCCCGCACATCCTCGCCCAGCTGCCGATCGAGCACCACGCCGCCAAGGGGACGTGCCGCGCGTGGCGCCGCGGCTGGAAGGAGACGCTGAAGAAGCGCGAGCGGCCACGCCTGCGCGTGATCGGCGGCCACGACAGCGACGGCGAGTTCCTCTACTCGGAGCGGTACGACCCGTCTACGAATGAGTGGGAGGAGGCGGAGGCTGTGGCGCTGATGTCGACAGCACGAGAGTTTTTCGGCACGGCGGTGCTCGACGGCAAACTGTATGCTGTGGGCGGGTACAATGGCCGCGGCGGCTGGCTCAGCTCGGTCGAGCGGTACGATCCGGCGGTGGATGCGTGGGAGGCGGTGGCGCCGATGGCGTCGGCGCGGAATTCGGTCGGCGTGGCGGTACTCGACGGCAAGCTGTACGCTGTGGGCGGGTACAATGGCGGCGTCCTCAGCTCGGTCGAGCGGTACGATCCGGCGGTGGATGCGTGGGAGGCGGTGGCGCCGATGGCGGAGGAGCGGGAAATGCACGCTGTTGCAATGCTCGACGGCAAGCTGTATGCTGTTGGCGGGTGCAATGGTGGCGACGCCATTGGCGGCGGCGATGAACTCAGCTCGGTGGAGCGGTACGATTCGGCGCTGAATGCATGGGAGACGGTGGCGCCGATGGCGACGGCGCGGAAACATCTCTGCGTGGCGGTGCTCGACGGCAAGCTGTACGCTGTTGGCGGGTTCAACGAAGGCGACCAAACCCTCAGCTCGGTCGAGCGGTACGACCCGGCGCTGGATGCATGGGAGGAGGTGGCGCCGATGGCGGAGGGGCGGGATACTCACGCTGTGGCTGTGCTCGACGGCAAGCTGTATGCTGTTGGCGGTGAGGACAGCGAGTCCAACTCGCTCAGCTCGGTGGAGAGGTACGACCCGGCGACGAACGTGTGGGAGTCGGTGGCGGCGATGGCGAGGGCTCACAGCCGGCGCGTTGCGTTGCTGTAGCCCGCCTCTCCGATGGCCCCCCCCTCGCAGTCCGACGGGTTGCACCTCTCACTGAGGCGCGGCTACTCGCCCAGCCCGCCAGGCTGTGCCCGCCCCTCGCCGCCACGACTGTGCCCGCGGAGACCGCGCCTTTGCGGGCGGCGACGGCGCAGCGGCGGGGTGGTGGTGACGTGGGCAAATCAGGCCCCGGCCCGGGTGGGAGACTGGGTTTCTACGCTAGTAAATTCTACTCTATGCGCGCCAGTCCAGCGCAGTGGGCAGTGTCGTGAGAGGGAGCACATCTCTCAGTACTCAGAGACAGAGTGTAGAATTTTACCCGTTGTTGTGTCGATCGCGAGAGCATAAACAAAAGGGGAAAATTCCAGCAGAATAGAAGGCACACGAGCATGAGCGAGGAAGCGGAAAGTGGGGTTCTTCCTCTCCCACTCCTCTTGGACGGCGGGCGCAATAGAATTCTTAAAATTCTGTTCGCGTCACAACGGTACAGCGGGACGGCACGCCGCCACCACACAGGGATTTTAAGGAGAGGGGTGAGGTGCACTAGCCGTCGCCCACCCTTGGGCGTCCGCCTCTTCCTATCTCACTTCGCAGTCTCTCGCAGATTCTCGCTGCGACCTTCATGCCACCTCGCGGCCGTCCCACTCTCGTCGTTCTCTCCCTTGTCACCTCCTCCTCTGTCGCGTCATTCTCTTCTGCCTCGTCCTGCGGCGCCGCCGCCTGCCGTTCCCTTGTTCTCTCGGCTTCTTTCGCCTTTCGGCGCAGCTCCGCCCTCCTTGCTGCATATCCTGGCCCCTCGAGTCTATCGAGCTCTCCTCGAGCAAGGACGAGTCTTCTGACGCCCACTGCTATCATTTGCCACCCAGTCATATTATTGCTCAGGTCCACTCTCTCTTCGAGCACTTGTGCCCTCACTGATGATGCCGGCGCTGTTATCCCCTTCGGGTGCATCGTGACGGCTGACAACGGATTTCCACTGGTTCGTCCTCCTCGGAGTCGTCTTCCCCCGCTTCCTCCCGCTCGGCTCTACGTTCAGTACGTTCGGCGTGGCTCACCCTCCATGCCGTGAACAGGCGCTTTATCCACCCTATATTTTTCTCTCGTTCCGCCTATCTCACGATTTACCCCCGACGGATTTCTTCTCTGATCTGATCGCCAAAAATTGCTCGCTTTATCAGCGTCCCATCCTGCCACGCCCTGTCTGAGTCGTTGCTGAGTACATGCCCTCATCAGTCAGCAAAGAGGAATCAGACGACGACGTGCCTCCGCCGTGTTGGGAATAGTTAGATTAGGCACTTAGAGGTGGGGGGGGGGGGGGGGGGCAACCCTCGCATCTCCACACCCGGACACGGGCACTCGGGCAGCCGACCCCTCCCTACCGACTTACTTAGGTACGCTCCGCTGCCGACGTTCCACCTCGCGGCCCTCCCTTCCTCCTCTGTGTCGTCTCCTCTCCCTGAGCCTCCTCCGGCGTAGCGTCTCGTTCGTGGGGTCTGTGATTCTCGCCTGAGTTGGCAGGAACGGCAACTGGGGTCCGTTCTGACTAGTACATGTAACACGTTCTGGCCCTCGCCATTCTGATCATTCCTGGAACACCCTCGGACCGACCCAGGGCCGGCCGGGTAAAACCCGGGTATACCCGAGAATTCTCAGGTTTACCCGAAAAATACCCGGAGCGCACGCGTCGCCATGGCGCCCTATCCCACAGGCACGTGCGCCAACTGCACCAACCACACGGTAAAAGCCGTCTGTACGGCTGTGGTATTAAGAGCTTGGCCACGGGTACCACAGAAAATACAAGGGCCTCAACCCCGGCCCCTCCGCGCCGGCGCGCGCCCCACGGCCCCGCCCAGCCGCGCGTTTTATATTTACCAAAACGATTTGAGGCCGCGGCTCTGTGCATGATGCTGCGGATGAACCTGACGTCTCCAAGCGTTTTCCGACCGAAGACTCTTCACAGTTACAACAAAATGGGAAGCGAAAGCGCTCCCACGGCAGTGCGCGCGTGTAGCCTCGAGTGCCGCGCGCGGGCTACAGGCTGTCGAGAATCACTCTCCAGAGGTGTGAGTGACTCGGGTGTCGGAGGGGCCGCGCACACACAATTTGCCAATCCCTGGATCTCTGCGGTCGCCTCGCGGGCAAGCTTCGCCGTATGTCGTGCAGTTGAGCGGCTCAGTCCACGGGGCTCGCGGCTGCGGACGAGACCGTGTGTGGGGTCTTGTGAGGTGTCTAATGGACGCCCTCCTCAGAGGCTAGCGGCCTACAGCTAGCCCAACTCGCACTCATGGGAGATGTCAATTCATTGTATGAGTGTATGCGAGCAGAGGCGCGTGTGCTGATTCTAGATCGCACGCCGTGGCATTGACTTGGGTAGGCGTGCGACCGCAGCGCGCCCGTCGTAAGGTCGACGGGGCGCGCGTGTCAGCGAGAGAGTTGCGGGCGGAGCCATACCCGACTTTTTCGAGGACGAGCCCCGCGCCACGGTTGCCAGCCGTGCTTCCGCGGGCGGGAGTCGCCCCTCGAGCCGCGTCCTGAGCCCTGGGTGTCGAGGTGTCGAGGCCCGGTGTCGAGGGTGTCGAGCTGCTGTCGAGGGGTAGAGGGGTGGCTGTTTTCTTCTTTCGACGGAAGTCGACGGGAAGGGCTAGGAGTACCGATCCAGGCCGTGTCCCGAATCCATCCCACTCGGCGCGCGCATGGCGTCCGCCGCCCGCAAGCGCGCCCGCACCGGCGGCGGCGGCGAGGTTGAGGCCGTGCCGGTCGCGGATGGCTTCGAGGCGCCCATCTTTGGCGCGCGCGTGTACGGCCAGGTGACCACGCTGCCGATCGAGGGCGAGGACGGCCCTCTGGCATCGCTCGGTCAGGTTGGCGTCGCGAGCGACCACGCGGGCGCCTGGTACGTCTCGACCAAGGACTCGCTGCTGCACGTCTCGGCGGCCGGGCGCGTGCGCCGCGTAGCAGCCTTGCCGGCAAGTAACTACTACACCGCTGCGGCCAGCCCCGACGGGAGCGCGGCGTTTGTGGCGGACTTCATCAACCACGAGATCCGGCGGGTGGAGGTGGCGACGGGAGAGGTGATGACGATCGCGGGCAGTAGCACAGCGGGCAGCGCGGATGGCGTGGGCGGTGCGGCGCAGTTCTGCTACCCAGGTGGCATCGCCATAAGCCCAGGCGGCGGCGCGCTGTTTGTGGCGGACTTCAACAACCACAAGATCCGGCGGGTGGAGGTGGCGACTGGCGCGGTGACGACGATTGCGGGCAGCGGCGAGGATGGCGACGCGGATGGCGTGGGCGACGCGGCGGAGTTCTGCGGCCCACGTGGCCTTGCCATCAGCCCAGACGGCGGCGCGCTGTTTGTGGCGGACAGCGAGAACCACAAGATCCGGCGGGTGGAGGTGGCGACTGGCGCGGTGACGACGATCTCGGGCAGCGGCGAGGGTGGCGACGCGGACGGCGTGGGCGACGCGGCGGAGTTCTACGACCCACGTGGCATCGCCATCAGCCCAGACGGCAGCGCGTTGTTTGTGGCCGATCATGACAACCGCAAGATCCGGCGGGTTGAGGTGGCGACTGGCGCGGTGACGACGATCGCGGGCAGTGGCACCACGGGCATCGTCGATGGCGTGGGCGACGCGGCGGACCTCGCCAGCCCAGATGAAGTCGCCATCAGCTCCGACGGCAGAGCGCTGTTGGTCAAAACGAGAGATGGCCGCCTCCGCCAGGTCTGCGTGGCGACGCCTCCTCCGCCTCCCTCCTTTGCCCCGATCGTCGTTCCGCCCTCCACCTTCTCCGCCGACATGGCGAAGACGTGGGGCGACGCCACCCTCCCAGAGGGGAAAGTCACCTTCCTGGTCGGCGACGACGAGGAGCGCATCGAGCACGTGAGCAAGTGCAACCTCTGCGCCCGGTCCCCGGTCTTCCGGACCATGTTCGGCATCGGCATGAAGGAGCGCGACGCCGCCGAGGTCACGGTGTCCCACACCGACCTCGCCAGCTTCACTGCCCTCGTCCGCTACCTCCTCACCGACCAGTTCGACCTCGGCGAGGAGGAGGGCGGCAGGGCGCAGCGCGCGTTCGACCTGCGGGAGCTGGCGCAGATGTACCAGGTGCCGCGCCTCGAGCTGCTCTGCGCGCAGGCGCTGCAGGAGAGCGTCGCGCCGGCGACCGCCGTGCCGCTGCTCGAGGCGGCGCACACGACGGGCGACGGGCGGCTCCTCGCGCAGTGCCGCCGCTTCGTGGCCGACCACGCCGCCGAGGTGCGGGCGAGCGGCGGCGTGGAGCAGCTGCGCGACTTTGGCGTGGCCAAGGGGCTGCTCGGCGACGCGCTCGACCAGGTGGCGGAGCTGAAGGGCGCGATGCGCGCGCTCCGCGTCGCGGAGAGCTGAGAACGCCCGATCGAGTACCGGAGCAATGTGACAGCGCAGCGCGCCGAGTATAGGGAGCGCGCTCCTGCGCAGCTCCTGCGACACCGCCGTTGGTTCCCGTACGTTCGTACGTCAGTAATCGCACGCACTCCCTCTTCTCCACTGCTTGATTTACCTTCCGACACCCCACCCAGCCCTTGTCCCGAATCCAGTCTTCGCCGGTGGATACGTTATCGCCGAGGCACAGGCCCGATTGCGCAGGTTAAAGTGCGAAATCCACCCTTCCCATCGGCATCGCCGCTCCCCGCCGACCGTCTCCGCCGCGAGGCCGTCGACAAACCAGCTAGCGGCGAGTCAAACGCTGGCCCCACTAGCGAGTGAATGGTGCTCACACCCGACGGCAAACGGCCGGACTGCTGGCGCCGCTCGTCGCTTCCTCCGGCACTCTGCCTGGGCTCTGAAGCCCGCGACTGCCGCCTCGACCCCATCGGCACGTGCCTGGGGACCTGCTGTGACGACGCCGACACAAAGGGCGGGCTGGTGCTGGCTGGTCTCGAGGCGGGCTATCGGCTGATCGATACCGCGGCTCACTACGACTCGGAGCCAGCCGTCGGCGCTCTGCCTCTGGGGCCGAGGACAAGAAGCCGTTTGTCGCTTGCTTGTTCTTTTGCTTGTTGATCCAGTTGGTACGCTCCTTGCGCGCCTGCTTGTTGATGTTTTCGGCGTCGCCCGCCACCGCCGCCTTGGAGATCTGCTGCGTGTGGTGGACGACGAAGGAGGAGGCGCTCTCGCCGACGCCGCCCCGTACACCGTCCGGTCCGTGTTGGTGCCCGCCGCCTCCTTGGCGAACACGTGGAGGAACTGCTCGGTGGGCGGCGCAATGCCTCCCAAGGTTTCCACGAGCACCAGCCGCGTTATGGCTTTCTTGACCCACTTCGCGTCGAGTACTGCGCCCCCGTCCACTTCCAGCCCGTATCCGTCTTGACCCACCCCTTTCCATACGCGTGGTCTTTGACCCATCCCTTTCCAGTCGAGTGGTCGAGCGGTCCGTCCACCTGACGGCCACGCTCCTTGCACCCCACGACTCCCATCAACGCCTTGTCCAGCGTGTTTCCAAACCCGTAGAGGTGGCCCACCGACGCCACATTGCCACCATTGTCCCACGGGCCCCTCCCCACCGTCGTCGACTTGATGAGCGAGTTCCAGCACTTGACCTCGTAGTGCACGTCCCGCATCGTGGCGAAGTCGCCGCCGATCTCGCAGATGTCAGTCACGGACGTGTCGTTGAGGTGCCGCGCGTCACCTCGGGCTTTTCCTTCCCCAAGGATGATGCTGCCAACCGAGCGCGCCCTGATGGCATTCTGGGCGGCCCTAGCACCCCGTTGTGCTTGGAGGTGCGGTCGCCCTTGTTGGAGTTGGCGAGGAAGTCGCCCTTGTACTCTCTCACCGTGACGTGCTCGCCCGCGGCAGCCTTCTCGACGAGAGTGGGCGCAATCACCGACAAGTAGAGCCCGTGCCTGCGCTGTATCGCCGTCAGGAACATCGCCGACACCATCTTCGTGTGGTGGAGTCCATCAGGGCGCATGTCGAGCCATCCAGCGGCGCCGAACTGGGAGATCGAGATGAAGCGAGTTGCGTCCCTGAACTCTCTCGAGGTTCTCGAGCACTCGAGGTGGATATCCTTTGGCCGCGTTGGGTAGCGAGGATTGGTGTGACGCGATCCACGCAGGCGTGTTTTCTGGCGGCCGACCGTCAGTGCACGGAGTTGCCCCTTCTCCGACTGCCCCGGCTAGTTCACGAGTTTCGCGGGAGTGACCCCATGCGTCAAACCCGAGACCTAGCGCGGGTGGGTTGGAGGGGGCTCGCCCCGTTCCTCCCCATCGGGCCGCATAAGCGGCCACGCCTCGCAGATTCGTTTCTCGCGCCTGGGTCAGGCGCGCGGGGCATCCCCCGGGTCGCTCGACCAGCGATCCGAAGAGTGGCCGCTATGCGAGGGAAAGAGCGGGGCCCTCGGGGTACGCCCCCCAGTCCCTGAACTTGATCGCCTCCGACTGCGGCGTGTTTTTGTCAACCAGGTACATACTTACGCAACACAAGGTCACGCACCGACTGCAACCCCGAGGCGAAGGGCTTATGCACATCCCACAGGTCGAGCCACTCTGAGTGGCTCCGACAGGCACGCACACGGTCCACTCGGAGTGGACCATGCTATTGTGCACACTGCTACCCCACACGTTAGGAAACCACTTCCTACTAATGTGGGCCCGGCTCTCCCGGGGGCTGGCCCATATCTCAAGCGAGACGGCATGCATCCAGACCCCCGTGGTCTGCGTGCGCGCCCGCCGACCGACGTCTGGTCTCTACCTACGGGTTCCGCACTTCCTCGCGTGCCGAAATGTTCCACTGCAGTGGCTCGTCTCGACACGCCGCCCGTTCCACTCGGAGTGGATCAGGGCCGTGCGGCGTCCCTCGGTGTAACCCTTGGCAGGGCGTACCACCGAAATTCCGGTGTCGCGGGTCGCGGCTCTGCCTCTGGCGAGGGCGGGGGTAGGCGTAGCGCTGAGTGACCCACTGAGGTGGATGAGAGACCCACTTCCGTCCCTCGCCACAAAAGAAAAACGAGTTTTGTCATTACTCCCGCTTTCGCATTTCCCACACGCGACGATGCAGGCAGACTCAACGCACATGCGATCCGCCCTGCAGTGCGTCGAGGCGGTGGCGGGCGTTGCGCGGCCGGTGGCTGTCGAGGCGCTCGTCTCGGGCGCGTGCGCCCGCCTCGTCGCGCGTGTGCCGCAGATGGCGCCCGGTGCGGCCGAGGCGCTGCTCTGCGAGGTGGTCGGCGCCGGCGCGCTGAGCG